CTTGTACATACTAACAATACTAAATCTTGTCATGCACTCACACTCAAGAGTGCTAATTTTTGGTCAAAAAATAAGATAAAAATAATGTTTTTGCCTGTTCTTGACAAAGCATTGACCAATATCATTCAAACTTTACATATAGGTCATACACGATACATTCCATATATTGATAGACACAATTTTACAATCAAAGTGTATTAAGAATGTTTTTCTGGGTCACAATATGCGTTTCCTTGTTCTCGACAACACATTGATCAATTCAATTCACATATAGGTCATACACATATAGGTCATTACTTATATTAGGAAATTCAATTTCACAATCATAGTTTATAAAGTGTCTTTTGAGGTAACACATGTCATTTTTGATTGGATGAATAGGGTGAAAATGACATTTGTGACCAAACCATACATAACATGCACAGATCTGAAAACAAAATTGAAGTTTATGCAAGGGTTTTGACACTGAATTGATGATTTTACATTTTTATGTTTTTACTTTACAGGATATTCCTGAGGAACAAAAATCAGGACGAACGAAGCGAAAAGTTTTAATTCAAAGATTACAGTTATTATTGGATAAAAATGATGATATTAAACTTAGAATAGAAGAAATTAAATCAAAAGACAAAAGATGATCTTACATTGATATCATTTTTAAAACACTTTGAATGACTTTTTCAAATGATTTATAAATATTTAGGCAATCAAGTCTAGATGAGACGACTTGCATGATTGGGTACAGAAGACCTACAGTCACACCATCTACCCAATCATACTCATTGTTTTTGGATCATTTTCTCAATAATGATCACTTTACTGTTATGTTCTATGGGGAGATAGATCTAGTTAAATCTGTTCAAACTGTTTTAATTTAATTCTATAGTTTTGATTCAACTAGAAACTTAATTTTATTTATGTTATTGAGGGGTCAAAGGCAAGAGTTCACTTACTGGCTGTTGTACATTGATTATTTGCATCTGTTGGATTCTTTTGATTGGTTAAGTGATTTTATTCATCATTTTGAATTTACAAATCTGTAAAATACATTCCCAGAATCTTGAAAATGTCTAAAAAAAATAAATGTTAATCTTGTAAATTATTATTCTCTACTCGATATGTTGATGATTTAATTATTTGAGTTATTTATAGAGATTACAAAAGTCACTGTGACTCACTAGGATGCCAGTGATAGTCACTGTGACTCCATAGGATGCCTGTGGTAGTCACTGTGACTCCGTAGGATGT